CCCCCCGCCAGTGCAGGTGCAGGTACGCAAGATGAAGGCCGTGTACCTGGCCCTCAACCAGTGCAGCGTGAGCACCACGCACAAGTGCCTCATCGCCGAGGCCTGGTGCGCCACGAGCGACCTGCCCACCCTGCAGCAGGCCCTGCAGGACAGCTCGGTGAGCACGGGGGCCTCCTGAAGCTCGCTCCTCTCCCCACCTCCCCTCCACCCCCACCCCTCCGGCAGGTAGCTGTTTTATACTCCTGTGCCTAGTGCCTCACCTTTGTGCTGGGGCTCCCTATTCTGCTAGCTACCTTTACCACCTACCCCCTCCAGGGAGTCCACCCTGATGACCCCAGCCCAGCAAGCCCTCCCACCTCTGGCTTCCCAGAAACCCTGGAGGCTACACAGGGCAATTATGAAGTCAGGTCCTGGCCATGTGGCCCTGGGCCTATCAGGGAGCCTCAGGCTCCTCGTCTGTGACTTGGGTGTGGTGACCCTGCCCCCAGCAGCAGTGCACGCCAGGTGGTGCATAGCAGCAGGTGGTTAGCCGGGAGTAGCGTGGGACTTTCTGTCCTGGGCCAGCTGATGAGGAGTAGCATGCTTTTCTTTCCCAAGTCCTTTCCAGTACAGATGTCAGGCTCTTCTTAAGCTCTCTCCTACTTGGACAGGGTGGGGCTGATGATCCCATTTCATAGAGAGAAGTGCCTGCCCAGTGGGCCCCGTGGGGTTCCACCTCTCCATCTGGGCTGGCTGGGGGTCTCAGAGCCCCTGCAGGCCCCCATCAGTCTGTTCTGTCTGCCTGGGCACCACCACAGGGTGAGGCAGGAGTGAGCGCCGTGGCCCATCGCATTCCTTGCCGAGACATGCCCCCGACACTTATCCGCACCAACCGCTTCACAGCCAGCTTCCAGGGCATCGTGGATGCCTACGGTGTGGGTCGCTACCAGGAGGTCAACCCCGGTGAGAGCCATGGCGCCCCTGCCCTTGGACCCAGCCCCATCCCTAGCCCCTTCGCCTGGGCCTTGGGGTGGCTCAGCTTGTTCCACTGGGTACAAGCCTGGGATGGGGCATCTCCACCCAGGGTTGAGATGAGAGCCACTTGGGTTACCCAGCCTGGTGGTGGGGAGTGCTCAGTCTTTCCCCAGTAAACACCCTCTTAAGTTTATAAGGGAACCAGCATGGACTTCGCAAAAAGAACGGCCCAGGTTTGAAGGCCAGCGTGCTTGCTTTGATGTTTCTTAGCTTCTCTGAGCCTCAGTTTCCTCACCTGTAAAATGAATGTAGTAATACAAACCTCAGCGAGAAGCTGGGAAGGTTAACGGTCAGAAATTGCAAGCCAGCAGCCTACAAGTCCGCTTGCTGGTATGGTTTGTCTGGCCACAACATGTCTTATAAAAGTTGAAACTAATGCTGTCGTAGTCAGGCCCTCCCTGAGGTGGACGTTCACGTTGTTTATTGAGAGAGGTGCTCTCAGGAGAAACTAATAAGGGAGAGGGGGTGAGGCGGGAAGGCTGAGCCTGGCTGGTTTCCATGAAGCCCTGGCCTTGCCTGCCCGTGCAGGGAGCTCTGGAGTGGGAGTCACACCTTGAGGACAGTGAGCAGAGCTTTCACACTGGGACCTATGGTCACTGGCCCACACGGCTGGGGGCTGAGAACGAGGCCGGTTACACTCTGGGCACATCTGATTGGGTGCTCTTGTGGCTGGTGGGGCAGCTCTAGGCCAAGAGAGGCTTCTGAGGGTGACCTGCTAAGGGTGTTCTTAGCCAAGCGTGCAGGGCCAGGAAGGATGCACAGGACTGGAAGAGGGTGCTAAGGGATCCTGGGCACAGCATCAGAGGTGTCCACCATACGTGCCAGTGTCCAAAGTTTGGGTTTTTACAAAAGTCTGCATTTTCCCAAGTCCTTTGCAAAAGATTGAGAGATTTGGCAACACAGTGCCCATATGTAAACAGGCTGGGGCTGGGTGGTGGCTGTCCCCTCCAGGGCCTCCCTTGCGGACAGTGCTTGGTCCAGGCTAAGGCTGAGCGTGTGCCAGTGGCTCTGGAGTTCCTCCTTGCCTCCTTCCTCTGGACTCCTGGTTCCTGTGACACTGCTTCCTCTCCCTTCACAACTTCGTGGTGCCGGAATGGGTGGAAGGGCCCAGTGTCCCTCAGTTCCATAGCATGGGTGTGAGCATGGTGGGGCCTCTCTGAGGAGGGGACTTAGTCACACGCCAGTGGGCAAGAGGCAGTGTGCTTGGGCCACTGAGGTGGTACGGGCAGGACATAAGGATGGCATCTGAGGCTATGTGGTCCTTCAGGGTCAGCATCTCCAAGCTTGATCTGGGGCCCCCACTGGATGTCCCCTGATTCCTCTACACTGACAGATGCCAGTCTAATTAGAACAAAGCTTGTCACCCAGATACCCAGGCTGATATGCCACCAGTTCTCAAAGTAATAGCGTCGTGAAAGTAATAATTCTCTCAGGATGCAGGACCAAGTCTCAGACTAGGCGGGGGCAGGGGGAGGGGCGTAAATTACAGATATTTCCTCACAGTTCCAGACGCAGGATGTCCAAGATCAGGCATCAGCAGTATTAGCTCCTTCTGGGGATTACTGGAGAATGTTCCAGGGCTTTCTCCTAGGCTGTAGATGCCCATCTTCATCTTTATGTGGCATTGACCCTCTGCATATCTATGTCCAAACCTTCCCTCCTTAATTTTTTGCTAAAGGGCATGTGTGCTTGCTGAGGAGAGACAGAGAGAGAGGGCAAGTGAGAACTCATTCCCCCGGGGAGATGGCCATGCCACAGTCGCCCTCCATTTTCCTCTTGGGATTTTGGGCACACTCGTGCCTGGCATGTTTTTCAAGCCACCAACCAGGTCCAGGACTCGAGCTGCATAGTTGGCTATGTGGGATCCAGCACCTTAGCCACCATGCCATGTTGATCTTCCTCTTTTTAAATTTGCTATAGGGCACATGTGTGTGTGTGTGTGTGAGAGAGAGAGAGAGAGAGAGAGAACCCCTGGGGAGGATAGCCATGCTACAATCCCTTCTCCATTCTCCTCTTGGGATTTTTGGGCATGCGCGCATGTTTCTCAAGCTGCCAAATCCAGGAATCAAATCACATAGTTCACACAGTTGGCCGTGTAGGATCCAGTTTTTTTTTTTTTTTTGGGGGGTTTTTTTCTATGTTGAGAGGTTTTTTGCTATAGGGCGCGTGCACTCGCCAGAAAGACAAGAGAGAGACAGAGAGACAGAAAGCGAGCAATCACCCCTCATGGGGGGATGGCCACGCTGCAATTCCTTCTCCATTCTCCTCTTGGGATCTTGGGCATGCATGCGCATGCGCCTGGCGTGAGTTTAAGCCACCGAGTCCAGGACTCGAACTGTGGTTGACTACATGAGAGTCCAGCAACATAGCCATTATGCTAACTGCTGGCCCCAGGATCTAGTTTCTTAACCCCCATGTCACTGGCTGGCCCCAATTTCTCCCCTTTTATAAGGACAGGAGCCACACTGGATTAGGGTCCACCCTGATGGTCTCATTTTAACTTGATTACCTCTCTAAAGGCCCGGTCTCCAAATAAGGTCACATTCTGAGGTTCAGGGGTTTAAAACTCCAACATATCTTTCTTAGAGGGATCACAATTCAGCCCCTAATGGCCTATGTACTGGCATCCTAACCCCATGAGGAATTAGTCCCATTTTACTGAAGGGAAACCAAGACTTCAGAGACTAAACCTTTTGGAACTTGCCACATGCCAGCCAGGCCTGCCTCTGGACTCTGTCCATCCTTTGATTCTGCTTCATGTGCTTGTGGGTAATGGTAACCAGAAGTGCTCGCTCTGTTGCGGACCTGTAGTCTGTCTAGTACTGCCCGTGGATACACTCATCTGTCACAGCCCTGTGTAGTGACACTGTTGTTATCTCCATTTCACAAGTGGGGCCAAGAAGGCTCAGAGAGGTTAAGTAGCTAGCCCAGGGTCACACAGCTCATAAGCAGCAGGCCCTTGAATGGCAGGCAAGTGGTCTGGTGTCCTTACCTTACAAACCTCACCTTAGTGGTTCCTGGGGTCCCAGGATAGGGAAATGGGTGCCTGGCTCCACCATGGGCATCCTGGCTGACCCTACCCCATCCACCCACAGCACCCTACACCATCATCACCTTCCCCTTCCTCTTTGCTGTGATGTTCGGTGACGTGGGCCACGGGCTGCTCATGTTCCTCTTTGCCCTGGCCATGGTGCTTGCTGAGAACCAGCCGGCCGTGAAGTCTGCGCAGAATGAGGTAAGTGGGCCGGGCGGGGTCCCAGCAGATGGACTGGGGGGCGAGACCGGGCAGCCCCTCAGCACTGTCACACTCCAGATCTGGCAGACCTTCTTCGGGGGCCGCTACCTGCTCTTGCTCATGGGCCTGTTCTCCATCTACACCGGCTTCATTTACAACGAGTGTTTCAGCCGCGCCACCACCATCTTCCCCTCGGGCTGGAGCGTGGCCGCCATGGCCAACCAGTCAGGCTGGAGGTGAGGCCCTGGCCCCCACCCTCTCCCAGCCCCCCACTGCCATGCACAGCCCAACCACCTGCCCACTGTCGCCACAGTGATGCTTTCCTGGCCCAGCACCCGGTGCTCACCCTGGATCCAAATGTCACCGGCGTCTTCCTGGGACCCTACCCCTTTGGCATCGACCCTGTGAGTCCTGCCACTTGAGTGCCTGTCACTGGTGGAAGCAGGTGGGAGGGCTGGTGGGGACTGCTGACACCCCATCATTCCCTCTCCTTCAGCAGTCGAGGTACCTGCTCTGCTGGGCCCTGCACAGTGGCCTGAGCGAGCAGACAGGTAGGTGTACAGGGGTCACACAGATGCTGGCTGTCTGCTGGGCCCTGCTGAGCCCTTTCTAGAAGTGATTTCATTTTGATCCTCACTGCCACACCCTGGGGATGAGCATTATCTCATTCTACAGATGAGCCACTGAGGCACCATTACAGTGATGGCTCAAGGTCACTCAGCTGCACAAAGCTGGGGTTTGAGCCCAGCTCCTGTGGCTGTGCTCTTAACCAGTCTCTTCTTTTTTTTGAGAGAGAGAGAGATTTTTGCTATAGGGCATGTGTGCTCGCCAGAAAGATAGTGAAAAATCACCCTTCGGAGGGATGGCCACACCACAGTCCCTTCTCCTCCATTCTCCTCTCAGGGTTTGGGGGCACACACGCGCGTGCACCCAGCGTGAGTTTAAACCACCAGGTCCAGGATTCAAACCACAGTTGACTACGTGGGAGTCCAGCAACATTACCATTACACCGCCTGCTGGTCCCTTAACCACTCTCTTCTGTGGCCCCTAACGGGCAGTGTTAAAGGCTTCAAGGGGGCGAACAGGGACTCGGGCCAGGGCCCTTTCTGGGAGCCCCTTGAGTCCAGCCACCCCTCTCACCACCCAGGTCTGGAGCTTAGCTATCAACCACCTGAGCTTCCTCAACTCCTTCAAGATGAAGATGTCTGTCATCCTGGGGGTCACGCACATGGCCTTCGGGGTGGTCCTTGGAGTCTTCAACCACGTGTGAGGGCCAGGGCTCCCAGTGGGTGAGCTGTGGGTGGCCAGCAGGGCCAGGCGGGGCCTGGTGACCTGTCCCTGCCCTGACACAGGCACTTCGGCCAGCGGCACCGGCTGTTGTTGGAGACGCTGCCAGAGCTCATCTTCCTGCTGGGGCTTTTCGGCTACCTGGTCTTCCTGGTCATCTACAAGTGGCTGCGCGTTTCGGCTGCCAGTGCTGCCTCGGCCCCCAGCATCCTCATCCACTTCATCAACATGTTCCTCTTCTCCCAGAGCCCCACCAACCGGCCGCTCTACCATGGGCAGGTGGGCCGGGCTGAGCCGGGCTAGGAGCCAGGCTTGCAGCCCTCTGGGGGCCCCAGGGTCACTGGGCACTCAGCTACAGGGTGCTGATCTGAGAAATGGGGATGCAGGGCTGAGGCCATGCAGACGGGCAGGTAGAGGTGACGGGGTAGAGCACTGAGCAGGGTGACAAGGACATCTGGAAAGCCCAAGGCCCCTTCTCTCAGGAGTCCTTATGGAGCAATGTCCCCACTTAGTGGGGGCCAGAGAGCCCTGCAAGACCCCGGTGAGAGGTGCCACAAGCTCTCTGAGACAAGTGATTGATGATGTGCATGTGCAAGGTGGCAGGGCACTGATAGCCTGTCACCTGCAGGAAATAGTTCAGCCCACACTGGTGGTCCTGGCCTTGGCCATGGTGCCCGTTCTGCTGCTTGGCACGCCCTTGTACCTGCTGCGCCACTCCAGGAGAAGGCCACGCAAGGTGAGGCTGCTGCCAGGAGTGTCCCAACAGTTGCCTTTTGGGCTCCTGGGTGGCTGTCAGCAGGGGGTGATGAGTGGGTGGTATGGGTCCCTGCCTGGGACTGACACTGGCTGCTCCCTACTCAAGAATGACGAGACTGACAAGGCCAGGCTTCTGGACTCACCTGATGTATCTGTGAATGGCTGGGGCTCGGATGAAGAGATGGCCGGGTGCCCAGGGGATGAAAAGGATGCCGAGGTGGGTGTGAGGCCTTCTTCAGTGGTGGGGTGGGAGGTGGCTGCCAGCCCCAGCCAGCTCCTCATTGCTACCACCACCCGTCCCCACTGCAGTTTGTCCCCTCCGAGGTGTTTATGCACCAGGCCATCCACACCATTGAGTTCTGCCTGGGCTGCATCTCCAACACAGCCTCCTACCTGCGCCTCTGGGCCCTGAGCTTGGCCCATGCCCGTGAGTGACTGGCTGGGGTGGGCAGGCCAGCTGGATCGTGGCTTCATTTCACCCACAGCTGGGTGGGTCCTCGCTCTCAGGGCCTTGGGATTCCTCTCTATGAAATGGAGCCTTCTAAGAGGTCCCTTGCCAGCCCTACGGGCACTGAGGACTCGGTACACCCCTGTCCTTCTCTTCTCCTGCAGAGCTGTCGGAGGTCTTGTGGGCCATGGTGATGCGTGTGGGCCTGGGCATGGGCCGGGAGCTGGGCGTGGCGGCCGTGGTGCTGGTCCCCGTCTTCGCCGCCTTTGCTGTTTTGACCGTGGCTATCTTGCTGGTGATGGAGGGGCTCTCAGCCTTCCTGCATGCCCTGCGGCTACACTGGTGAGAACCCCTGTGGCCAGCCTGGGTGGCAGCGGACAGTGAGACACGTTTCCTTCCCCAACCTCTCCCCTTCTCAATCCCTAGGGTGGAGTTTCAGAACAAGTTCTACGCAGGCACTGGCTACAAGCTGAGCCCCTTCACCTTCGCCCTTGAGGATGAATAGGGCCCACCTGTGGGTCATGCCCAGTCCTTCCCTGTGTGAGGCAGGAAAGAAATAAAGAGTGGGGAGGCCCAGAAGCTGCGTTGGGTGCTGTTGGAAACACCAGGCACTGGGCTGGGTGTGGGTTGGCCCTACCCTACAATTTCTATTGGCTGGTCCTGTGCCAGCCCCAGGCCTATCTCTTACACCATTGCTTTCTAGCGGAGGTAGGTCGGGGTGGAGGTACTGGTCTAGGGTCTGGGGTCTCAAGGCAGGGAGAGGACCCATGTGCACACCTGCAATAACCCCACTCTTGTGGACAGGGACAGAGCTAGGGTGGAAGAGGGGTTTCTAGCATATTCAAGCACAAGCTGGGTGAGTGGAGTGAGCTCATCCTTAAAGGTGTGCAGACTGGCTTTAAGAGTGTTTGAGATGCTCTTGGGAGAGGGCTGTGCCAACATTCCATGCCCTGGTGCTGGGCCTCAGGGACTCAAGGTGACTACAGAGAGCAGTCTCATCTTGCCAGGCAGGCCTGTGGTGTCACACACCTGGGCTAGCCTGACAGAGATGAGCATGGGCTGTCCAGAAGGTCCAAACGAGCTGAGCCTGACTCTGGTCCTGCCTCCCCATCACCCAAGACACACGGCTCTGTCCCTGGTGGCAGTCCTGCTCCTGAGGGCATCCATGTGTGGCTAGGGGGCTGGGATGGCCTCCTGGCATTCCTCCTGACCTGGGTCTCACGACTCACTGGGAGGCAGAACCAAAGCTTCTCAGGGGCCTCAATTTTTCTGACCAGTGAGCTGCAAAGTGGTTCTTCCAGTTGGAGGCTCCAAGAACAAAGGCTCCTTTGAGGCCAGAGTCATCCAGGGCACCAGAGCCTGGGGGACTGGCCGGCTGTTGGGAGGAGCCTGTCCCTGGGGTCCTGGATTGCCTGATTGAGGCAATGCCTCAGCAATGCGGACACTGAGGCCCTCTGACATTTGGGAGCCAGGTTTGGAAGAAGGGTTAGAAAAGAGGCACTAGAAGGGGGGTCCCGGAGGCTGGAGGGAAATCAGAGAGGGGCAAGAATAAACCATCTTGAGGAAGAGGCAATGCCTCAATCAGGCAATCCAGGACCCCAGAAACTTGCTCAAGGCCCATGTTTTCTGGGTGGGGATACAAGGCAATGCCACAGGCCTGCAGACTCGGCTCAGAGAAGTGATGCTAAGCCCCTTGGTCAGTGACAGGCAGCTGACCACAGCACTGCGAGGGCTGTGGACAGATCTGGACTAAACTCAGAACCTGAAGCCTTACCCCTTCCTGGGGTACAGAGCTGAGCTTGGACTTGCTGGGCAGAGGACATGATGGACAGAGGCTCAAAGCCAAGTGTGTGGCAAGTGTGATTTGGTGGGCGAGGCAGGTGTGGGATTCAGGGAGAACCACTTGGCCCTGTCCTGGCTTTGACACATGGATGTCTGGCAGCACTGGGTAGAAAAGCCCAGTTGCCATGGGAACAGCATATGCAAAGGCACTGAAATGGACGACCTTACAGTGTGGAGGTTATCAGGGGCAGGCGGATGGGATGTATCCTCTGCACTGAAGACTCAGCAGTGAATAGAACAGGCCTGATCCAATCCCTGCTCATGTGATTATAGTCAAGAACACAAAGGAAATGAATGAGAATTCTAGAAGTTAAATGGCAAGAAGAAAGCAGAGTAATGGGCCAGGAAGGCATGTAGGGCCAGGGTGGCTTTGGGGACAGCAGCACCTTTGATGGGATAGTGTGACTCTCAGCTGGCAGAGGGACAATGTGGATGAGCCATCACCTGCAGTGAGGAAACTGCAACAGGCCTAGTGTATTTAAGGAAGTGTGGCTAGAGCCAAGGAAGCAGAGGGTAAGGAGGTGGGTGGGGCTGGCTAGCAGAGCCTTGTGGCGTCTTCACTCTGAGCACAAGTGAGGACTTACAGAGGAGCCCCAGTATCCGTCACGGTTCAACTTTACTATCTGGATATCTAAACACATTTACCTGCTTAAACATTTAAATGTCCCGAAGGGTGAACAGTGAGAAGGTCTTTTGTCCTAGCCCAGCCAGTCTCCTCCCCAGGTACAACCACTGTCTCCAGTCTCCACTGCGTCTTTCCAGAGGTCTTCATGTCAGGGAACAAGGTAGGCTGGAGCTCAGAAGGCGGCCAGTGGCAGAGGCTGGGGCCCTCTGACATTTGGGAGCCAGGCTTGGAAGAAGAGTTAGAAAAGAGGCCCTAGAAGGGGGGCCCCGGGGGTTAGAAAGAAATCAGAGAGGGCCAAGAATAAGCTATCTAGGAAGAGGAGAGCCAACAGGGCCTCATGCCACTGAGAAGCCCAGCCATGTAGCGGCGCAGTGCCACCCACTCAACTGAAGATAGCAAGCGATTGAGGAGCTGGGCGGCTGAACCTGGAGCCCTCCTTGAGGTTTAAGACACATCCAAGGGTGACGCCTTGAGGTTGGGTTTTTAATATTTTATTTGTATAGTACAATCTCTGGTAGCAGAAATATATGCACAAAAGAAAAATTCAAATAAGAGTTCAGAGTAAAAAAAAAAAAGTCTGCTAAGAATTTATCCCATAGGACATTTATATATATAGATTTCACAGCTATTCTCTATCTGCACCCTACATCCCACACAGGCTGCTTGTCCCGCAAGAATAACTGTCAGGTCATTCTTAGGGGAAAGTAGGGGCAGGAAAAGCTGGCCACCGGAGAGCCAAGGCCAGGGTTCCCCTCTGCCCAGGAGCAGCAGGAGGCTTTTGAAGGGCCCTGGGGCAGAACAACTCCCAGGGACAAGCAGAGGGGAGATGAGCAAGAAGACAGAGAGGTCCCTGCACTGCCCAGGGCCACAGCATGACTGAGGAAGCTGGAGTTAATGAAACACTCTCAGGCAGAGTGGCACGTCAGAGACTACACCCAGTTAAAGAGAAATTCATCTGTATAACAAAATGTGTACAACGGTAAAGAGAGCGGCGTCCATCCAGATGGCAGCTCTCAGCAGCTCCTGTGCAATCTGCATCTCCAGCATCCGCCCTGTGGACCAAATGGGTGAAAGCAGCTTCGAGACAGCAGCGCATGCTGCCCTGCAGTAGTGCTGCCTCGACACAGGCTCAGCCAGCGACTTCACAGGACGTCTCTGCTCCCTCACTGTCCTGCGGTGTGTCTACAGCACATCACCACCTACAAAGGGCCTGGTCAGTCATAGTGGTCACCAGCACGTGAATGGACATCTTTTTAAAAAAGGAACATCAACCAAAGGACCCGCAGTAACACTGTTCACTCTCGGTTTGCAGTATCTGACCGAAATCCATAAGCCCCCAATAGAAAGCACCTTCTCTAGATTAAAAGGATTCTGAGATATTGCACTATTGTACTATATTTCTGCTTCCCAATCTCGTTTCAGAGTCCTAGTGAAACCGTAAACAAGGTATGAAAGAAATGTTACTCCACTTTAATACAGTCTTTAGTATCATACATGTCTGTGTTCAGCAGCGAGCCATCCAAAGCCTTCCTGCCGCAGGTGCAGTGGTTGAAGCACGGAGGGGACCCTGCTCAGCTGCCCCCGACGCAGTCCAGTGATGAGTGGATGGAATTCTCCCATTTACACCCCAAGCTGCTTCTTCTGGTTGAAATAGGCATCAAACCTTGCTTGGGCATAGTCCTAGGAGGCAGCAAAGAGAGAGAGGGTCACCAAGGGCCCCTGCTTGCCCACACCCTGCCCACGTGTCCAGCACAGGCCAGGGCTGTGGGACTGCTAGGAGCTTGGGTTGTCTGAAGACAGTCTTTCCAAGTTCTCAGCACTGTCCCCTTCAACCTTTATTTCAGATACACCTAGCTCAGTCACTGTGGCTACCCTAGCCCTGCCAATTCAAAAATGACCTCTTGTCTACATATTTGGCACTGCTATCATCATTGTCCTCTTTACCTGGAATGCCGCAGGCACTGACTGACCAACACAATAAAGGTGCCTCTTTTTTTTTTTTTTTTTTTTTGGGGTTTTTTTTTTTTTTTTAGGGGGGGGGCGCCCACCAGCG